ATAAAATGAGAAAATTCAACCTTCGAAAATTGTGGATTGAAACAACCTGATATTAACGGTCCTTTCTCATGTCGATTCTTTACACATATTTTTGAAATGTCTGCATTGTTAGATTTGATTTTATGAAAACTCATTTCCGCATAGCGATTGTTAATTTGCTCTAATGGTTTCTCAGATTTTCTTAAAAGAGATTTTAATTCTTTCATAAAATTTTCAAATGGAAAAGCACTAAAAGTATTTAATGGCCCAAATTGTTTTACGTTATCAGTTATATGCAGAAGACCGTGAATATTATGGGATACAAATTCGGGCCCGTAAATTTTGATGAAACATTCAACAAAATGTTTAAATAATTTATTTGCATATTCAATATATTCGACTGTACTATTATTTTGGCATAAAATGCGAGTAGCAACATGTAAAGTTAAAAAGTTTGAAAATATATCAGAATTTACTTCTTTTTGTAATACAATCGGACCGGTATATAACAAAAATTGCCTTAATTCGGTTGCTTTCCATTGTGCAAAATCTTGAATTTCTCGCGGTCTTCTTGCAAATTCTTTTGGAATAAAACGTCTCATATCGAGAAGAGATTGAGAAATACTTTTTATTCGTTGCGATGATAAACATCTAGATTTAAGAGGACCACTTATCCATAATTTTATTAATTTCTTAACAATGCCAATGCATATCAAGTACATGTAATCTAATGGAATTTGAGATACAATGTCAAAATTTGAAATGTTTAATAAAATAGAACGACCGAGATGATATTCTTCTTGAATTTGATTACGAAAACTCACGTCTGTTCTTTTTTGCCAATCAAAACCGGGAAAACAAATTCTGTTAGCGATAAATTCACCTTCAATTGTACATTTTGAACAGCTAAAATAACCAGTATGTCCTTTAGTAAGTGTTATGAATGATTTTGCAGGAGCATCACATATTATAGAGTGTATTGAAACTGGAAATGTTGTTTTATTATAAGTTACGCCTTTATCAATCAAAACATTTATATCTTTTACAAATTGTTTTAAAAATTCATTTGCATCCGCGGGCTTGGTTTTACCAAAATAGCAACCAATAAGAAATACTTTTCTATGAGGCATAATTCGACCTAAAATGGGCCATAATTGATTCGAGTTAGATCGAGATATCGGCAAACCATCAATACCGATTTGAATTTTAATAGAAGATAAAACTGTACTATTATTCATACCATTACTTGCAGATAAAAATTGTAGAATACCGTATTCAATACCGATATGACAATATTGACCAGGAAACATATCAGTAATAACAGAAGATCGTGGTGTACGTAATAATGTCTTTGCACATTTTGGCAAATTAAAAAAAATTGGATGTACTTTTTTCAAACCAGACAATAAATGTGATAAAGCTACATGAGAAATATGATGCGTGATAGCCCATTGTATTAAAAATGCCTCAAAATCATTGTTTTCTTTTTCTAAATTATTATTATTATCATCCTCTATTATAAAAGTTCGTACTAATGTATTGTTCAAGGAAGTATCAGATTCGAAAATGTTCGTTTCCTCGGAAAATGATAAATTCGTTGTCTCTTGTACAAATGCGGAAAGAGCGTTATTAAAATTGGCGTGTAGAATTTCATCATTGTCATTATTCAATACGGAATTATTTTTAATTACACGCGAATTGGTTCTAGGTTCTTCATTATTACATATAAGCGGAAATAATTCATCACTCTCTTCTCGAATTAATCTACGGCGATATCTCGTTGAAATACGCGACGGATATTTGCGCTTCGGCATAATTATATATATATTGTTGTGTTTTAATATAAATGAAAATTATTTAGTAAAAAATATAGACTATGCACTTGCCTTATTTTCTGAATAACTCCTGTCCTGTCCAATATATAGTATCTTCTTTCCTGATAGCAATACGTGCGTCGGACACAATCCACCGTTTCGGAAGAGAGGATCAGGAATGCGAAACTGAGTGCGATCAACAACGTCGTTGCAATCGTCGTTGCTAATGAACAAACATAAATTAATTTACGGCGATATCTTGTTGAAATACGCGACGGATATTTGCGCTTCGGCAAGATTTTATATATGTATGTATATATAATTATTGTTATGTGTTTTATTATAAATGAAAACTATTTAGTAAAAAATACGGACTACGCACTTACCTTATATTCTGGATAACTCCTGTTGTCCAATATAGTATCTTAATTCTTTCCTGATAGCAATACGTGCGTCTGACACAATCCGCTGTCTCGGAAGAGAGGACCGAGAATGCGAAGCGAAGTGCGATCAACAACGTCGTTGCAATCGTCGTTGCTAATGAACAAACATAAATTAATTTACGGCGATATCTTGTTGAAATACGCGACGGATATTTGCGCTTCGGCATGATTTTATATATGTATGTATATATAATTATTGTTATGTGTTTTATTATAAATGAAAACTATTTAGTAAAAAATACGGACTACGCACTTACCTTATATTCTGGATAACTCCTGTTGTCCAATATAGTATCTTAATTCTTTCCTGATAGCAATATGTGCGTCTGACACAATCCGCCGTCTCGGAAGAAATGAGCGGGAACGCGAAGCAAAGCGCGATTAACAACGTCGTTGCTATAATCAACGACGTTGCTATAGTTGATCATAGCAACGACGTTGTTGATCGCGCTTTGCTTCGCGTTCCCGCTCTTTTCTTCCGAGACAGCGGATTGTGTCAGACGCACGTATTGCTATCAGGAAAGAATTAAGATACTATATTGGACAACAGAAGTTATCCAGAATATAAGGCAAGTGCGTAGTCCGTATTTTTTACTAAATAGTTTCTTCATTTATAATAAAACACATAACAATAATTATATATATATATATATATATATACATATATAAAATCATGCCAAAGCGCAAATATCCGTCGCGTATTTCAACAAGATATCGCCGTAAATTAATTTGTGTTTCTTCATTAGCAACGACGATTGCAACGACGTTGTTGATCGCACTTCGCTTCGTATTCTCGGTCCTCTTTTCCGAGACAGCGGATTGTGTCAGACGCACGTATTGCTATCAGGAAAGAATTAAGATACTATATTGGACAACAGGAGTTATCCAGAATATAAGGCAAGTGCGTAATCCGTATTTTTTACTAAATAGTTTTCATTTATAATAAAACACATAACAATAATTATATATATATATATATATACATATATAAAATCTTGCCAAAGCGCAAATATCCGTCGCGTATTTCAACAAGATATCGCCGTAAATTAATTTATGTTTGTTCATTAGCAACGACGATTGCAACGACGTTGTTGATCGCACTCCGCTTCGCATTCCTGATCCTCTCTTCCGAGACAGCGGATTGTGTCAGACGCACGTATTGCTATCAGGAAAGAATTAAGATACTATATCTGACAACAGGAGTTATCCAGAATATAAGGCAAGTGCGTAGTTCGTATTTTTATTAAATAGTTTTCATTTATATTAAAACACATAACAATAAAATTATATATATATAAAATTATGCTGAAGCGCAAATATCCGTCGCGTATTTCAACGAGATATCGTCTTTTCATTTGAAAATTTTATGAAGGAATTACAATGTCTTTTAAGAAGATCTGAGAAACCATTAAAGTAAATTAACAATCACTATGCGGAAATGAGTAAAATCTAACAATGCAGACATTTCAAAAATATGTGTAAAGAATCGACATGAGAAAGGACCGTTAATATCAGGTTGTTTCAATCCACAATTTTCAAAGGTTGAATTTTCTCATTTTATTATTTCAATCAAATCTTCCGATAATTGTTGTCTTATAGAAAAGGAAATTATCTGTTTGGAAAATATTGCAACATCGAGTGATGGCAATTATATTGCAGTCAGTCGTAAATTTAAAGTTGTTGAAGAACTTTATAATAATATATGTAATTCTAATCATTTAAACATTTTTAAAGTAATTGAATTATCTGACATTCAAAGATGGCCTTTGAATAAAATCAATTACAAATTTGTAAAATTGCCATACAAAAATGAAAGAGTATTTCGCAGTGATACCGTTTATAAGTACTGCACATTTATAATATTTGTATCTTGAGTTTTTATTTGTTTAATAAAAAATTAAAGTAAATTCTGATAAAATTTTGAATTGAGACAATCTTTTTTACACACACTATATATATATATATATATATATATATATATATATATATATATATATATATATATATATATAGTTTATACAAATCGATATCTTTGTTAACATGATTACTCGTAAATGCTTTTTTTAAATTTCACAGGAAGATGTCAGATCGAGGATTCATCGTGGTTGAATTTTCCGATGGTATTCAAGTAATACCTAAAATTTGGCTACAAAGTAATAAAGAATTATGCAAATATCCTTCACATTTAAAAACGGATCAACAAATTCGTAAGGCAATTGAAAAAGAGGAAAAGCCGAGTTCTTCCTGGTCTTCCTTTAAAATTAAACGGATTTTTGGCGAGTATTGTAAGTATTTAAATAAAAAAGCTTTTATGATGCTTCAGTTTTACTTATTCATTATACTTATATTAATATATTTTTAACATTTTCAGCGTCCTTACAGAAAGCTGATGCGGTAGCAGAAAAGGCCTTATATACATCAGATATGGATACTGAAAAAGAGACGAAAAAGTATAGAAAATATAGAGCGAGAAAAGATATATATTCATCCGAAAGCGAAGAAGAGGGCACAAGTGCAACTTTACCGTCTGCTCCATGTCCTCCTGTGAAACGTAATTATGAATAATTCTAATATTGCATATATGTATGTTAAATACATTATATATATACATATATATATATATATAAAATATATATAATATATATATATATATATATATATATATTATATGTTAAATACATAATAGAAAAACTATAAATTTTACATGTATATAGATATAAAATTCATATCTTTTATATGTGTGTGTGTGTTAACATATATTTTATTATGCATATAACACATATTGTGTTTAATCAAATTAAAGGTCAACGACTGTACAATACAAATGAAGCAGTTCAATGTGAAAATACATCAGGTTCCACTATATATTTTTCGGATTCTACAAAAAAACACAAAGGATCATCACAAGTTTCAAACTTGAACTCCACATCATCTCAACAAGGTGAGTAAATTCATTACATATTTCCATGTAATAATATAATACAATGTAAAATTTCATATTTGTAAAAAAATATCACAGTATTTAATTATTAAAAAGAATTAATTGTTAAAAATTATTTTAAAAAATTTAAAAGAGTATTCCATAATTTTATATACACACATGAAACATTTAAAATAATACATAATAACAATATTAATAAAATATCTCAGAAATTATAATAATACCTGCTATACTCACATAAAGTGTGTTTACATTAAATGTATATTTATAATATATTTCATGTACAGATGCAAATGACAACGATACTTCATACGAAATAGATGAAGAACCATGCATCGTTACAAAAGAAAAAAATCGAAACAATGTAGTACATAATCGACATGTTAATAAAATTAAGGAAGTTGATCGATCTAACATATATGCGCGAGAAAATCGATATACAAATGAGGAAAAAGAAAATAACAATTTAAATGATCAGTCTTCACAAGCTGCAATTAGTAAGTAAATATATAATAAAGATATAAGGCATAAAATATAAGGCATATTTTAACAATAATTTTTTTAAATATTATATGATTTTATACATAATAGATTCTCGACGTAACTATATATATATATATATATATATATATATATATATGTATACATGTATTGTATAGTTTCAAAGCATCTATTATATGTAATGTTTCACTACAATTAATTGTTTAAATTTTATGCATAGTTATACATATATGTATAGAATTCATTTTTAAAATGAATTTTATATGCATTTGAAAAAGGACTCAAAATTGATGACATATAAATGAATTCTTTTCGAATATCTTGTGCTATCTGGGTATTTAACTTTGTGTGTGTGTGTGTATTTGAAAAAAATGAAAAAAAAATAATTATAATTTATACATATTTTAATATTGTACAAAACTATTGATTTAAAAAAAATTAAAACTATTAATTTCAAATAATTTCAAAAAGCAACATTTTATATATATTCTTTTTATTGTTAAAATAATTATATACATATATCAAAATAATACATCGTCTTGTCTGCTGTATTTCTTGATAAATCAACATGTGTAATGCAACTTTAATTCATGTTTTTATATATATATATATATATATATATATATATATATATTACATACATTTATATGCATACAATAATACGTTACTGGTGTGTGTGTGTGTGTGTAGTATAAATTTCAAAAATCTACATTTTGTTCTTTTTATTAGTAAACCTCTATTTACTATCTATATACCGAAATAACACATATGAACTTTTATATAGTATATAAAATAATAATATATAGTATACAAAACTATATATTATTTCGATATACTAATAGAGTTTTACTAATAAACGAAAAATGTAGATTTTTGAAATTTACATGATATATATACACACACATTTTATTCGTTTATTAATAATTAAAAATGCTATTTACAGTGGATCATTTAAAGAGATTGACTAGAGAAATAGCAACTGTAAAATACGATATGAGACAAGCACTATCTCTATTGGATATTTTAGTGGACAAAAGCAACAGAAGCACAGAATGTGAAAATACGAGATTTTCTTACAAAGGCGCTGAAAATCGATTTCCTTTAGAAACTAGAGCCCAATTAACGGAAATTGAGGAAATTTTAAAAACTGCTAATTCCCAAGAGAACACTGAAATAGTAAGTTAGCACATATCTATATATTTTAGTAACTGAATACATAGGGTGAACCATTCATAAACGTTAACGATACTTTGTAAATTTTGTAAAATGTACGGTCTGTCCCAAAAGTTCCCGAACTTTCGGGAACTTTTGGGATAGACCGTGTATGTATCCTAAAATATACATATGAAGAAATGTCTTATATAACAATAATTAGTGTCATGGTTTTAATACGAGGGACATATGATAGGACCATATAGTTTTTGCTTAGCCTTTTTTTTATCAAGATATAAAGGTCACTTTTATTTTTTTAATTGAGTATACCCAACAACATTTAAAAAATCGAAAGTGACCTTTACATATATTTCGATAAAAAAGCAAAAGAGCAAAAAAATAACTGGTATGGTATCATATATGTCCCCCTTGGTACTTGCAACTTTTGTCTAAAATCTTTTTCTTAATTGAATGCATATGTTACAAGATATTTTTGTCATTAACATTATAAATGGTTTACCCTATATATAATATATTTCCAATTATTATCAAATTTATAAGTTTATTGCATAATCAATTTTCAGTAAACGTTTCAATTCACAATAAAATGTATTATGAAAAATAATTGGAAATTACTGTTAAGAAAAAGAGATCGTTATTAACTTTAATAATAATATTACTTTTATTCTTATTATAGCGCGCATATATACAAGCAATTGGTGGAACAGGCGTCGATGATGCGGTAAAGAGGACACTTTATAAAGTATTCTCAAATAAATTAGCGGAAAATTACAATTGGGAAGGCCGACGTGGAAAATATCCATTACAAAATTTAGAGTTAATAAAAATTATTTTCAGTAAGTTTATACGTTGTTTATAAATAATTAATTTATAAACAAAAATGCCTTTGAATATATATATACAGAGTGTATAAAAAATATCGAACGGTGAAATATCTCGAAAATTAAACATTAAATATTTTCAGGATCCATACTTCACAATATCTCGGATTCTGATCGAACAAAAATACAACGAAGAGTCATGGAGTGGTTTAGGCATTCCAAGGCAAGACACAATAATGAAAAAAAGCGGACCGTTAGAGACGAAAACAATGGTTCACCCGATCGCCATTCATCAATGGAAAATTCAAATTAATATAATCTATCAAAGATCTTAATAATCTATAATAGAGTAAAATCTATAAAAGATCTATAAAATTAATAATATATAAAAGAAAAAGTACATTATTATAAAATAGTAAAAAATATATTTTATTTAATACCACATAGCTTGATAATTTTAATTTGTTGTCACTATTTTTGTTTATGTGCAATAATAATACATCCAGTTTATTTTCAGGTTATTTTTATGGAAGTCAATGATGAAACGCAATATACAAGTTTCAAATAACTTATATATGCAGATCTGAGACTTTTAAAAAAATAAAATAAATAAAAATTTAACATGTGTGTCATGAATTCAATGCTAAAATTTTGTTCACGTGTAATGGCCCTCAGGCCCTAAGGCTATTGCACGTAAATAAAATTTTCACATTGCCTCGATGACACACAAAGATGTAAGCGGTAATAAAACGTATTATTAATAAATTTTATGTATGTTTCAGATGGACAGTCCATATACATTTACATTAATTATAATAGTATATAATAAGTCAAATAGTTTTTAGAGTTCAACGTATTTTATTTTATTAAATATTTAATTGCAAATTCAGTAAAAATTTCTTTTATTAAGTTTTTATTAATATATTCGTGCGTTATTGCAAAATATTTTTTATTTATATTAATTGTATATTTTTTATTTGTATATGCGATTATTATTAATTTTACAATAAAAACAGAAAAAATTTTTTACAATTTCTGCATTTTTGTGTGTGTTTCCAATCGTCTTCTTTAATAATTAAGCTAGAAATATTTTAGAAACATCCATAAATCATCTATATCATCTCTAGTAGATGTTCATTATTCATCTATATAACCTCTAATGGATATCCATTATCCATCCATCAGTTTTTTGAAATATCCATAATTACTCTGTATTACATCCATATGACATCTATGAGTATGTCTAATGGATGTCGAATGGAAGTAGCAAATGCGGAACTATGGATGTCTAGTAGAAGTCCATAAGAGTTTACGTGGACGTCTAATGGAGGTTTTGAATTTCCATGATGGACGTCTACTGAGTCCATTAGAGGTTTTTGTTCCGTGCGGGTAATATATATATAAATACACAAATTTATATACATTAAGTGCTTTTTATACCTTCTTCTTCTCTTTTATTCTTCCTTTTCTATCTAAATTTACATGTTTAGTGCACTGTTTGTAAAGAAAAAATAAAATAAAATGAAAAGATATTGATTCTTGCGGTGAAATATTATATTAATATGCAAGTTTTAGTCTTTTTTTTCTAATTTTATTTTATTTATATACATAATATAATGCACTACAAATTAATCTTTAAAATATTTCCTATTACTTTTTGCTACCTTTCTGACAAGTTTTTGTTGCGAAAAAAAAACACATCTCGGTTTAAAAGCAATGAAATTGTCAAGTCATTTTCGTATCTCTGCTGACATCTCACAAACTGTCCAGCTAAAGCATGCTGCATCAACTGGAATAAATGATAATCCGAAGGCGTCAAATCAGGTGAGCACGAAAAAAACTTACCAGCTTAAGTTAAAGATAGTTTACTGAGTGATTTGAGCAATATACGAGGGTCACTATTTATATTTCGGGAATAGGAACAAAAACAAATAGTTAAGGTGCGAATATATTTTTATTGTTTTTCAAAGTACTCGCCACGATGATCGATACACTTTTGCATGCGCTTAAACCAATTTTCAAAGCATTTATTCCATTCCGAATGAGGTATCTCCAAAACATGATTTTTGAACGCTTCAATAGCTTCTTCGGGCGATGAAAATCGTTGACCACGCAGTTTATTCTTCACGGATGGGAACAAAAAGAAATCATTGGGTGCCAAATCAGGGCTGTACGGCGGATGACCCATCAATTCGATGTTTTGAGTGCTCAAATAGTCTCTTGTTTGAGCCGATGTGTGAGAGCTCGCATTGTCATGATGAAGAACAATCCGACGTCTCTTGTTTGTTTTCCTTATTTCACCGAAGATTTCTGGCAAACAGATGGTTGTGTACCACTCAGAATTTACTGTTCTACGATCCTCTAGAGGCACTGTTGCAATATGATCAGTTTTTCCGAAGAAACAGGCCACCATTTTCTTTGAAGTGCTTCGTGCGCGAACAACTTTCGTTGGATTTGGTTCATCTTGAAACACCCATACAGTCGACTGCTGCTTACTTTCGGGCTCATACGAATATATCCATGATTCGTCACGATTTTATAAACGTCTTTTGAAGCACCGTGATTGTATTTCTTAAGCATTTCTTTGCACCAATCGACACGAGCCTTTTTTTGAGCGATTGTCAAATTATGTGGGATCCAACGCGAACATAACTTTCGCACAGCTAAGTGTTTATGTAAAATCGTATATATGCTGATGGAACTAATGCTTAGGAATGCTTCAATCTCACAATAGGTTACATGACGATCTTGCTTAATCATTTCGTGCACAGCATCGATGTTTTCTGGCACTACAGTCGATTTTGGACGACCTTCACGAAACTCGTCGGACAGCGAACTACGACCACGATTGAATTCACTATACCAGCGATACACAGTGGTTTTTGATGGAGCTTCATCGCCAAAAGTCAAATTAAGTTGATTGACGCACTCTTGTTGTGATAATCCACGTCGAAAGTCGTAAAAAATCATCGCACGAAAATGTTCACGATTCAGTTCCATTTTTTGCCGAGACGAAACTTTCAACTAAATATAAAATAAACAAATAGCGTCCGTATGACAAAATGTTCTGAGTACGTATATCGTCAAAAATGTCAAACTTTACGATGGAACCGTCAGATGGACTCACATGACATCAGTGTTGCCAATTCCCGAAATATAAATAGTGACCCTCGTATGTGACTTATTTTATTAGTAATTTTTTGGTCAATGCGGCATGCTTTAGCTGGACATCATAATTAAAATAAAAAAAAGACTAAAACTTTTGCATATATGTCTATAATGCTTTTCTGATTATTTACATCTATTTTATTTCTAATAATTTAATCTCTGCGCAGAAAATATTTGTAAAATCACAAATATCTTTTTAGCAAACATACCTTTGCACTGTATGTAATGGCCGCTCTCTCGAGAATCAACGCTCTATTGTACTCTAACGCTCTCTCCAACGATTCGCGCAGAAACACCCTTGTAAGTCCGAGCTAATATTGTGACTGCGCCTCCTTTGGCGCGGCTCTGTCCAAGATTATCCTGCAGAGCTCCTTGTTGAGCGATCCTCTAGGCAAATGCGTCAAAATGAGGTATCGATACCAATCCACAAAGTGTCCGAATGCGAGGCAAACCGGGTAGCCAGTCTTCCTGATGCGGATTGTTTCTAACATTCCAGTGTATCTCAGCTGCTCGAGTACACAAGACATGTTAAATTTCATTGGTGCTTTCTCGGTGTTTGGCTTAATGCAACGGACAAACCACGGGTTACATCTATAGGCAAAATGAAAATTTTCACAACTATTCGTCTTTCCTGTCAGTTTTTAATATCTCACCGATATTTAATATCAATTGAAATTACTTACTAAGACATAGATTCCAATAGCTGCTGCAAGCTATCGTGAAATAAGAAGGGTTTCCATAAGAAAGATTTCAGAAGAAGAAGAATCCAAAATGTCCGTCTCTCACTATCTCACACTGCACAATGCCAGGCAGCCGGGCAAGCGAGAAGAAACCGGAACAGGAACATAAGCAGATAGCGTTGTACATACGTATGTACCGTTTCCATATTTAGCGTCAAACCTGAGATTATACGCGCGCGATAGAAAACCGAATCATACTATAAAAGATATTATAGGGTTGTTCTTTATATCTTATGGATGATCATAGTACAATAAATATAAAAATGGAATGATACGCATATATATTATGTATAAAAATATCAAAGTGATAAGATAATTTTCTATATAATTTTTATTATATTTTTATTATATTTTTCTATATATTTTTATTATATATTTTAATATATAATATATTTATTATATTTTATTATTTATGGTATATTATATTTTATATATTATGTATATATAATTGATAATTTTCAACACGTCCAAGGAGAAAAGAAAAATCTTTAACTTGATTTTTAACATAACCTTCCATTTAACCCGGCTGTTACTATTAACCTTTGATTTACATAACTGTCAAAACGCGCGATCTTCGATTTATATATTTATAAAAGATATAATATAATATAATATAATAAAAATATATAGAATAAAATATATAAATAATATAATTATTAATAATATAATATTAATAATATAAATATTTGGATTCTAATATTAATAAAAGATAATTTTTATTATATTTAATATATAATTATAATATATAAATAATTTTCTATATAATTTTATATATAATTTTTTATATATTATGTATCCAATATATAATATATAATATCCAATAATATACTAGTATCCAATATATAATACAATATATAATATATAGTAGGCCAACTAAACGAGCAAATAAATAAGATGTAAAAAATTTTTTTATTAATAGTTAGATCATTAAATTAACATTCCGTTACAGAATCGATATAAATTGTAAACGTTTCGACTGCACTACAGTCTTTATCAATACATAAAAATTAAATATTAAAATATAAAGTTAGATGTTAAAAATACAAAGTTAGTTAAATATTAAAATATAAAATTGAAACGATTCTTCGCTGTTGACCAATAGATATGCAAGGCGATTGGTCTGAGATGCCAAGTTATGCGACATTTGAGCATGCTACGGATATAATACGCGAATTAAATCAATGTCAGAAAAAATTAAAAAATCTTTCAACTTACATTATCGTTTTAACAAGTCCTTTTCCCCGATATTTCAAGTGTGTGTTGCGAAGTCTGAATACCAAATGTCAAAATAGAGAGCGTGATGTATTTATTTATTACCAATGTTTTTTCTAAATTATGATTCAGCAAATTTTTTAAGTATGTCAAAATAACTACTGTCTAACAATTCGGTGTCTGTATTTAAATTAATTCCATTTTTCTGTTCTTTA